TTTCAAATGACTACGTACATCTTTAGTTATTAATTAAAGAAGATCGGTGCACAGTTGTGCACAATAATGCACCAATTTTCTTGAATTAATAACTAAACGCATCTACGTGGTCACTTGAAAAAATAGTGGAGGACCTTTTTGTTCATTATGACTTAATATATAAGCGATAAACGTCACACAGCTCATCTACCGTATGGCGTGTGATTACTTAGGAATCTTCTTTGATTAATAAATTTTATGTAATTATTCACAAAATGGTAGAGGAATCTTTTGTTCTGTTTGATCTAATCTACTTGTACACCGCGGCTCGTTCGTGAATTACCAAACACCTTGTATATTGCCTTCGTTTCTCGACAGCATCCATCGTGACGCGTTCTAACTCGGAATTTCGTTCACGACAACGAACTCGACCGGTATTTATTCACTTGGGCTTTCGCGCGCACGCGATACCTTTGGTAACCCGTTAAGAAGGGCGATCGACATTGAAATTAATTACGGGGCTGAGATGCGGTCGACTTCAAAGGACGCGAATATAGCCTGGCAAATGGAAATGTAAATTACCGCGCGCGAGCATATACGCGCAGCATATACGCGCGCGAACGTCACATTTTCCAGTCACTTTGCCGGTTGTGCTTGTGAGAAATGAAATTGGCGGCGCACACACGGCACGTGTGTATCGCACAAAGGAACTTCGGAAAACCCAATGGAACTTCCGCGTCGCGTCGCGTCGTTGATTTGTATGTACCGCGCACGCAGGATTCCCTGCGAAATGTGTAACTCCCGTAACTCCCAGAGCATACTTCCCGGCAGACGAGCTGTTTTCCACGGGGAAAATCGTCGTCACGAGTCACGTTCTCAAAGGGCATAATCTTAGTTAGGGAACTATTTGCTGGCCGGGGAGACGCGGGGGAGCTCTCGCACGCACGTCTCCCCGATTTAATTTCTTGGAAATACTATCGTTTATCTAGCTCCTCCTGCAACAGCCTAATTAAATGCACGTCTCAATTTTAATTATTCAATTACCAGCCGCAATTAGAATGTAGAATTGTAGGCGACGAGGATCTCGGCCGGTAATTATATCTGCATTTTAATTTGCGCGCGAATGTGCATGGCGTCTGATAACTTCATTATGATGCAATTACTCGCGCAAAGTTGTCGAGTCCTCGATATATGTGCACGCTGGAATTTTTTGTTGAAGAATATAGTTTGATAATAGTATGGTTTTTAAATGTTAACTAAACTCTTCTCTCCGTGTAATATTGAAGCAATGCATGACCTGAGTAAAAAAATTCAATTTAATTTATTTAAGTTTAAATATAATTAATTTAAATTTACATTGTATGTTACTAATTAATTAAAATTTAATTAATATATTTAATTTAATTTAATTTAATTTCTTCGTAAAAAATTGATCACTAGTCAGGAGTTGGTCAGTTTTGGCTGACTTGGATTTTTATTAGACAATAACTGTTCAAAGAAACTAGACAGGAAAATATTGGCTAGTGTTTTTTGATCAATTACTAGGGCCAAAAATTCTGTGGACAAGAAAAAATGATAAGTAAATGCTGAGCAGTTTCTGTCTAGTAAAAACTCAGAAAATACTCAGAAATACTTTACTCACACACAGTGTTCCTTGGTCATTTATTGACCAGAAACTAGATAAGGAAAAATGATAATTAAAAATAAAGTTATATAAATAAAGCATCTCAATAGTGACTGAGTTTTTAAGTGAAAAGATTTCACCGTTTGAACATGAGAATTTCACGTTATTTTTATATATATATATATTGCCTACATTTATTATTTATATTGCCTACATTACATTTTTCGTTCTCTCCATTTCTCATATTTTCTTGAAATATTTTCTTGAAATATTTTATTTCTACTTTATAAGTATAATTCCCCTAGAGAACCGAGTAAGATTACTTACCATGATACTCTTTCTGTTAATATGAATGTTTTACATTTGCAAGAAAAATCCTCTGCGTGCGCAGGCGCGGTTACACGGACGATGCGAAGAATATATGACCGGTGTGACAATGTGTGTTGCATTAACGACGATTTAGAATTCTACCATGTAAGTGGCGAGAGTCGTAGCAGACGCGGATCGAAGCTGGCGCTCGACGAATCGCAGTGGTCGGGAGTCTCGTCTACGGGACTTTCTACTCTCGTTCTCTGTCTAATTGCGGATTGTTCTTCTTCGGATCTTTGTGCCGGGCCATTAACAAACAAGGACGTTAATAAATTGTTGCTCCATCGACCGAAACGGCGCGGCGTGAGATTAAGATTCGCGGGAACAAAAGACTGCTCATGGACGTTTCTCAAATTCGACGAGCAACTTCGCGCGCCGGTACAATAAAGAGAGAAGCTCGACTGCGTAATATAATTGAACTCGCGGAGTTATTCGCCGAGTGCACACAATGCCGTCGACTTTATTCAACCTCGTCGGCGATGAGAATTCTTAAATTTATATCAATCAGAAATTAATTCGACGCGCGCCTTCACACAAATTAGAGAGCCTCGGCTTCGCTTTATTTAGCAGATGCAGAGAGGAAAATTTGATGAAAGTGGTTGATGTCTTGAAGTGCAGTTACCTTGTTACAGTAACTAATTTTGCAATATCGTAAAGAGAGACGAAGATTCTCCTCATTGTTATAAATTCGTTCGTGAAGATCGACGTAAGGTCATTACATGGACAGAATTTTGTAATAAGAATTATTGTAGGATTTCGTAGTCGAAGAATAGATCGACATTCTAGTAGTAATTATCATTATAGTAATTTATTAAGTAAAATTTCTGTTTAGAGAATCTACCTCCGATGGTCTTCGCCTTGGTTATAGAACTTACTCTTTTGAGTAACATTCAAGAGGTTTTAGTCATCGCTTATTTTTTATTAAAAAATTATCAACAAAAGAAGTTGCATAAATGTAACAAAGGGACATAAGATTTTACATGCATACAACTTCTTTTGTTAATAACTTTTTAATAAACAATGAACGACAATTAAAATCTCTTGAATGTTACTTAGAAGAGTGAGTTTTATAACATACACCATCATGGAAGACTACCAGAAATGGATCCCTTAAGAGGACTGAAAGGTCAAATTGCCTGAAAATCGTGCTTGTTTTTTCACAATTTTTTTATGACAAACTGAATATGCGAAAATATTATTTTGACATATATTTACACAACATATGAAGAGAAGGAAAATATAATTTTGATGATCAAATACTCAATATAAATGTATATATGATACATGCAGTTAAAATATATTTTGTTTTTCTTTTCAAGGTCGTCATTTTGCAGTAATATCTGGATTCTCAGTGGTTCAATTAAACTGAATTTTAGGTAGAAAATTTCTGTAAGCTCGTCGTTATCGTGTGAACTATTGACAAACTCGTTTATACTCGAAAATATTTAATTTTGAAATATTAATTTTTTTACTATAAAAAAAGTGAAAATTTAATAATATTCCATTAAGATATTTGTAATTTTGTTAACTTTTACTTAATTTCTATTATAGTGGTTCACCCGAATACTTATTATCTTTTCATTTTTCATACGTGCTACTTATATTTCAGGAACTAAAATGTGTTATTAAAAAACTTGTTACGTTTCTAATGAAATTTACTATGTTTCTTATGTTTACTATATTCACTATATTTCTTAGCTAGATAAACTTTACTGCCAATCTATTCCTGCATTACTATAAACATAGTAGAATGTAAAGGAATTTATATGAAAAAAAAAACTATAATATATTCTCTTCGTGATCGATGATTATAATATAATTATATGCACAAATATTAGATGTGCAAAAGTTTTCCTCTTTTGATCAGCAATTTTATTGCCTCCAAATCGAAGTCTATTTTTATTTTTCACGAAGGAATCCTAAACTTATAGACAAGAAATGACAGATGATGATGGAAAGCGAGGATAAATTATATTGTATTTTACGTATTATAAAAGCGATACAAAAACTTGCGAAAAAAAGAACCAATTTTTCAATAATAGTTTAAACTTAGATTTAAGTTTGAATTCTGTTCTAATCACATCAGACACACTGGTAGAGCATGGTTTAAAGATAAATATAGATTTAAGCCACTATTGAAAAAAAATCAATCCTAAAACTTTTGACCATCCCTAATACAATCTTTGCATTTATTTAAAGTAGATAGATCCAAAAAAGTTATTTATGTCGAAGAGATATTTTGAAAGAGAATATTCTTTCTCTCTGTGAAAGTATATGGTGCAGGGAAACTCGATTATTACGCTCCCGCGAGACAAGAAAACGGAGAAAATCCGCCCGAGGAAGTTCGGTATAATATAAGCTCCGCTATTTCGCCATTCACGAATAGATTTGTTCGGGGTTTCAGAATGAGTTGAGAAATCGTCGCGAACGTTGAATTTTCTCCCGTAAAACGCTCCCCGGAGAAAGAGGACGGATGGAGCCCCGTTATACGGAGGGTGGAATCCGTTTCTCGGGTTTTACGAACCTTCGACCGATAACTTGCTTCTTTACTTTCTCTCTCCTTTCTTCCTCTCCCCCTTTCTCTCTCTTTCTCTCTCTCTCTCTCTTGCTCTCTTCTACTTTTCTCGACTTCCTCCTCTCACGTTAAGACGTTTGACGGGACTTAGAATATAAACGAGCCGAAACCCCTCATCGGTACGTCAGCTCGAGTGTTGGGCAGGGGATGATAGATCGATTCTTTCGTCGACACCTCGTGGGTGTAAATGCATGTCAGGAGGATAAATTAGCGGGTTTGCCGGAGCGACGTTGGCGAAGCAGGCCCAATTATAAAGATCGTAAAATGGTGGACGATGTCTCAATTGCAATCGATACGCGATATCGCGCTTGTGCGGTCATTACCGTCGGGACTCGCGACTTGCTTCCTCTTGGTGTTCCAGCGCAGAGCTGGAACAATCGCGTTCGTCAGTGCGGAATCAGTGGTTTTGCCAGCGCGAGGTAGAAGTAACCGTGTTATTCTCTTGTGTTCCAGGTCAATTTCGGCGATGTTTACATACCGCTAGATCTGAAAGTGCCAAAATTGCAAGTGCTCCCCGAGTTCTCGAGATTAGCGCACGATCTCCGCAGCGGGAACATCAGTATTCTTGACAGCAAAACCATCTACATCCCGAATTTGCATTACGATGGCGGCGGCCCGGACGCTTACTTCTGGGTGGGCAACGGTTCGGAACCCAGCCACTTCGGTATCAAGGTGCCCAACGAGGTTGGCAGGTGAGTTGATATTCGATTCGTTCGACATACATTACGCTGCATTACGACATACATTATGCTTACGATAACATTCCACAAACATAGTTTTGGTTTCTTGACTGCTTGTATCTGTTGGAGCTCTTTTTATCTTCTCTGGTATGATTATAGTCTTTTTGTTGTTTTTTTTTTGTATGCTTTGCTGCGTTTTAAGCGTTAATTTTCTCATTTCCGACTTAGCTGACGGCGAATATTCCTTTGCGTTGACTGAAGAGGACCGCGTATTACGGTCGAAACGTTTCATTTTGTAATTGATTTTTGTTATTAAATTTCTAGCACATAATATCAACACTTTGGCTTTTGTGTCCTTCTTTGAGTTGATAGTTTTTAACTCTTTAAAGCTTCGACATCCATTACGTTCGAGTAAAATCTTTTTCTCCATAAAGTAGTCTTGAAAGACATCCCTGACGAAGATTTTGTAATTCGTGTAAAATTTATCTTTGAAAAGTACGATTTTCTGAATGTACGTTCATTAGCAGGCGTGTGCCCTAGCCACAGGATTTAGTAAGTTTTATAACCATGATCAAGTGAATATACGAAAAGACGTCAATCTTGTACTTTAAGGTGACATGGATGAAAAATTGAAAAAATGAGAAAATAAAATTCGCTTCTTTTCGTGAAAAACTTTATACTATTTCGAGCATCAACGATTGTGCTATACACATCATTATTATATTGATTTCTTCAGTGGGAAAATTATTGTTTCATGAGTTGGGGTGAAAAATGTAATTCTGTTTAGAATGAATCGATAGTATTAGATCGAAGGAATCATTACTTGCTAATATAAAAAATTTGGCGAGAAGCCAAAGGGAATGCACATAATTATGTACACTGGACCATAACAAAAATTTCCATTTGTTATTAATTATTATGCTTTTAATTCTCACATATCCTTTTGGCACTTTAATTTGGCACATTGTTTTTGTCCTCATTTATTTAAATTTTGTAAAACTGATAATAAAAATTCATGAGAAATTATAAATTATACCTAATATTATACCTTTGAGTCTGCAAAATAAAATTATACAAAGAAATGCTCACAAATATATAATTTAAAATATTTAATTTTATTGCAAATACACGCAAAACAATGATTTAGTGATATCAGCTAAACCGCGGTAGCTGATTCAAACTTAGTCAAAAGGCTAATCGTTTAGCTGTCACTGTTAAGAATTGGCTATGACAGCTAAGATGCATTCGCTATGAAATACAAATATATTAGGTGATATTAAAGATGCACATTATTTCAAGTAGCTAAGAAAATGGCAGTTATTCCTAAATTTCTTATCGTATGCATATATTAAAGAAGTTTGCCGTATAGTTACAATCATTTGTTACAGTCATTTATTTCTAGCAGCTAATATTTCTCGCTGTAGTGCCTAAGTTTAACAGCGAATAAATTTAGCTTCGGTAGTATCGACATTAGCTGTCCCTATTTCAGTGACACATCTTATCTGCCACAGCTATTTTTTAACTCTGGAAGCTAGTTCTTTTTTTGCGTGTATAAAGAGAAATGCGATAAAAGCATGATGTTATATAAAAATTTATAACTTTTCAAAATAAATTGAAGGGATTAATACTCTAGGATTCTCCCGTCAATATTTAAAATTAAAAAAAATATATTACATATTTCAATTCGTTAAAAAGTATAATTATTTGAATATAAGAAAATAAATTATTTTTTCAGTCAACAAGTGTGAATAAAATAATTAATAATTTTAAGTTTTTGTAGTATTAGTCCGTTTGATACGGATTTTATTAAAATTATTACAAAAATTATCTATATTTGAATCTTTTTTTTGTCGATAATTAAAGTTTGGTAATACAGAAAACTTAGTCACGCATAATACAGCAAAAAATCGAGAAGCTACTTACATCTAACTTTTCTTATATATTCTGTTCGATGTAAAGAATCGAAATATAACAATAAATCTTCATTTTATCTTATATTTTTATTTTACGCTTTGACACTTTAATATGGCACGTTGGGGTCATAAACGACTTTAAAGCAACGTTGCTCTTTTTTATATGACAGGTAACTTACAGATGACAGATAACTTAACTGTATTTAAATTTAATGTTTTTCACAATTATAACTTTTGTAAGGCGGGAAACAAAATTCCTTACTCCATTGACTTGCGAGAAATTTAAAATTAAAAATTATTTAGGATCAAAACTAATCCCAGTATGCCAGATTAGAGTTAATTATTATTTGCTATTCATTATTATGTCTTTACTATTAATTATCACGCTATTAACTATTATTTGCTACTCAATTTGCTATTTGCTTATTATGTTTTTGCTATTAATTATTATTATTTATTTATTTATGTATTTCTTATTTATTTATTTATTATATTTCTGGATATGTATATGAGAATTTTATTTAGTTTATTTGTTAATTGTGTGTTAATTGTATGTTAGGGATATATATTATAATTTATTTACTTATTTATTTCTATTTTAATCTTTTATGTTATTCATTTATTATACTTATTTTTACTTTCCATTATTGAAATTTTTATGTACTTTGTAATGTTACTTTACTTCTTTTTCACGTAACCGAAAAAAGTTTTCCCATTAATTATTAATATTATTTATGATATTTATTATTAATTACTATCCGTAATTCATTCTAACGTTTTAAGTTTTAAACGTTTTAAAGTCACCTTAACTTATAGATTATAGACTTTATTTTATAGATTTATTCTTTTACTTACATATATATATTTATTTTTATTTGTATTTATATTATTTTCACATGAAAAGATTCACATGTGATTCCGATAATCCGATCTTATCATTCAAATCTCTTTTTTTTACAACAAAATCGTTCGTGTATTAGTTCAGCATACTTATCATTTATTTGCTCGACACATAGGAATGATCATTAATCTCATTTGCCGGCAGTTTGGCGCCATTAAGAGGGTACCAAGGAGAGGATATCGAAATCGTTCTGCCGGGGAATTTGACAGTGTATGATATCAACTGGCTTGCAGTGTGGTGCGTTGAATACAGACACAATTTCGGCTACGTTTTAATTCCAAAGGACCTCGACGTACCTCCGGCTCTCGGCCAGACGAAAATTACGGTAAACCAAAATGAGTCCTCAATCCACCGCACCCGATATACGCCCTCCACTCTCCTCGCGCTCCCACCTCCTAAAACTTTCGTACCTTACGTAGCCTCATTAACGTCCACTATGAGATGATAATATACACGACTCCGCTCTTTGATACACACGATGAAAAGCTCTGCCTTAATGGCGACGTATTGAATGCACTGTGATGAGCGGGGACATTCGCGTCTTTTCACGATAAAAGGCTCGTAATCCTAGCCGTACTAATATTTAGGTTCAACGGGACAACGACCTGCGCCAAACAAAATCTCGCCTCTTCGGCTGTGCTTTTACTTATTTTTTCCAGCAACCACCTTTTGATTATCGCACGACCTTCTGGCCGCGAAGGAGAGGGAAAATTTCGCATTTGATGAAAATTCCTCTTCTCTTTAAGTCGTTCTGATGATACAACGAAACTATCACGCTTCGCACATACATGCACATCCACCGATAAAATCCGATTACCACGTTCTGATTAGAATCTAACTGACTAATCTCGGTCTAATCCTCTTTTATAATAACACTGTTCTCGATCCTCGCGTGGAACAGCCGCCATGGTGGTACAATCCGGTGAGTAACGCGATCGATGCACGATTGACGATCTCGCGATACGACCCATCCCGGGTAGGATTTTATCGGGGCATACCCCAAGTCCGTAAGGCCTAGATAGGCATGCCCTAAGATAGTAGAATTTCCTAAATAGACTCTAAATATGCACTGTTGGGGATATCCTTAATAAGTCCTGCTATCGTTAGGCCTACATATGGCCAAGCAAAAGAATTTCTAAAGGAAAATTCGTAAATAGGCCCAAAATAGGCACAGATGTGGATGTCCGTAGACATCAACACAACAAGATATGTATTTATATAATTCAGTCAGGGTCTCGTTTATTCAATTCTTGAAATAGTTTAAAGTCTTATAGAATTTTAGTTTACAGTCTTAGACTGAAGTAAAATTCACATAAGTTTGAAGTAAAACCAAAATACCTGATTTTGGTTCTCAAAAATACAGTCTTCCAAATAAGGCGGATCCACATAGGGTTCCACAGCAAGCTTTCCAAAAGATAACTTGGAAATTATATTGAAATATAACATTGAAATAATTTAGAAATATTTGTGAAACATTTTATCAAAATCTTTTTCACTAAAATATTTTATATTTTAGAAATCGCTTATAATAAGCGTTGATTTATATATTTATATATAAATTTAATTAATTTAACGAAATCTTATATAATAAGGTGGATTTCTCTTTCTTTTAATTGTACTCCTTTATAATTACTCAAAGTTTATAATCTTCCATGTCTTTATTTATTTAATAACAACCAACAATAAAAAATTTTACTATAAAAATTTAAAAATAACGAAATGGAAGTGCGGGATTTTGTAGATCTCATCTCATTAGCTAAGGGTTCAATTAACAATAAAAGTACGAACAATATAATTTTTATTAAAATTATACCATTTTATTAAGTTATATTATCAAAAAATTATATTATTGTGTTAATCACAACACATATGGACAAAATGTAAGACGCTTATATCGATTGAAAAAGTGGCGTAGTGTCTAAGAGATTCATAATCCAGAGATGCCTCAGGCAGGGTCCAGGTCGAGTCCCACCAGTGTCAGTGAGAAATTTTAAATGTGATGTAGCATTGGAATCAAGTAATCTAAAGTTTTCAAAATCAGCAAGCGTTGTAACCTTTATGAATAGTTTCTATTAGAAAAAAATAGTACGTGTTCATACATAAAAGAATATTTTTTTCTACTTAGGCATCCAGATAGAGCCTATATAGGCGTGTCAGAACAGGGCCTTGTCAGATTTACAAATCAGGCCCTGACTTACAAAAGCGTTACATCTCTGTACAGGGCCTATTCTGGCTTGCCTGAATGGCGCCTAGACAGAAATGGGGAAAAACTATCTAGGACCTTTACAAGCCCTCTTTTAAATTCCTACTCGGGATGATGATCCGACGAAGAGACAATTCGTGTTATATCGTTTCTTTCTCTCTTAGACGAGCAGCACACCCACGCCTAAGCAAGTGAGCAATTGCAAGGAGATGCTGCAGGGCCGTGTTCAGGTGCAATGGCAGCTGATTGGCGAGAACGTGCAGATTCGTGTTTCCGGACGTATCAGGGAAGACCAATACGTGGCGTTCGGATTGTCGGGTCGGGAGGGCAAGGCTGAGATGATCGGCGGCGATGTCGTCGTGATCGGCTATGACAATAAGACCGGCGAGTTTATCGCCGAGGATTACTACATGTCGGACATAGCTCAGTGCGACGGCAAGAAGGGCGTGTGCCCAGATAAGAGGATCGGCGGTAGAAACGATGCGGTGCTCGTGAATGGCGAACGGAAGAACGGCATAACAACTGGTACATGTCTTCTCCTTGGCTACGTTCCGATATTCACTGTTGGCACTGAGAATCCACAGTTCATGTCACGTATACTACAAATCTTCAGTACGGACAGTGAATGTCGAACTATTATTAGCGCGCATGTTACAAATGCCGCTATTGCAGTTGAGATTAAAGAAATAACGAACGACCTGATCCTCATGATTGTTATACGCGTTGTACGTGTTCGTTCTCGTCGAGGTTTTGCTTTCCATGTGACTTGAATAGCGTAAAGGGTCGTCTACAATGCGGTCGCAGTTACGTTTTTTTTTTTAATCGTAACGTTTTTATCACAGCTCTGTGAATCGATCATATCTCTATTTCTTCTTCGCGTAAAACTCGTGAAAAGTGAAAAGCTTTACTCAATTCATTAACTAAACTAAACTTTTTATTTTCTATGAATTTACGTGAAGAATGTACGATCGATGCATAGACTACGACTTTAAAACGTAATTCCGCCCGCACCCATACAGCACAAATTTTCAAAAGATATTCTAAAGATGTTCTAAGAACATTCATACATCCTAAGAACGTCCTAGAATATTCTCTGAAGATTTTGCTATCTGGGCATTGTAGAACAATCTTTTAGTTTTAAACGAGATATTTAATAGTTTCGTGCCGAACTAATTTGACGCGATTTATCATTCATACGCGTAGGTAAGTTAAACTTTATTTGTTAAACAACGTGTTTTCTTCATAATAATTACATTTTCATTTTTATTTTGTGATTCAAATAAACAGGTGTACGTAAATTTGGCAGCAACTTTATCAATCGATTTAAGTTATCAATAATTCATATGGCATTCATTTTTAACACATCACAGACAGCATAAAATCTCTTGAGGACGTCCTAACGACATCCTGAGAACGAAGAAATATCCTCAGAACTTCTTCAGGATATACTCTTGATGTCCCCTGGATATCTGTACTGTTAGGGATAAAACAACGAAAAAAAATGCGAAATGAACGATGTGAAAATTTGCTCACAAAATAACAAAATTACATTCCCTGAGTAATAGTAACAGATATAACTTAAAATTTGATGATTAGTTTGTGAATACATGCAGAATATATGTATATGAGACAAGCAACATCAAACTATCAAGCAAAGAATCTTCAAAACTTAATGAAGACAGTACTAACTCAAAATATCTTGTAATAACTCATTACTTGGTAAAGTAATGAACTAAAGTATATGGATGCGTAATGCACAATATAATATAAAAATCTGAGAGTAACTTTAAGTATAAATTTGTAGCTGCAACTATATAAAAAAAAAAATTACATCATTGTACAATGTAAATTTAATCATTAATGCAATACATAGTATATTTGCCTCGAAAATGTAACCGTGATGCTGATAGATTGTCCCGTTGCTACGGCGTAACTTGTTTTATATGTTTATAACCGTCAAATTACTACGTGAATTTTGACAGCTAAACTTTCGTGAGTTTAGTATTAAAGAAGACAAAGAAGAGAAAAAGAGAAAGAGCAAAAAAGAGGAAGACAAATCTGATCACAAAAGACAAAAGGAGGGGGTGAGGGTATATTTTTACATTTATAATTAGAAATATTTATTCTTTTTTCGATTCTATATGTACAAGACTGATGAACTTATTAAATAGTTACAGACAAAAAGTAATTTTTAACCTTACAGCGTTACATAAAAGTTCAGGTATAGACTCATTATCTAAAAAAACGTATTATTATCAACAATAATTTTGAAAAATGATACATTACAGCTGTTGTTACTTAAGAAGTGATGAGTTATTACAGGACATATTGAGTAATACTGTTTTCATTAAGTTTTGAAGATTCTTTGCTTGACAGTTTGATGGCGCTTATCTCATGTACATGTATTCTACATGTATTCACAAACTAATAATGCTAAAATTTTAATTATATTTTTTACTGTTACCTAAGAAATTTTGCTATTGTTACAGTTATATTTAAAAAGATTAGTGTCTTTACTAAATAATCAGAGACAAAAAATCACTTTTAACCTTAAAGCGTTACATAAAATTTCAGGTATAGACTTATTACCTATTAAAAAACTTATTATTATCAACAATAATTTTGAAAAATGATGCATTACAGTTGTTTTACTTAAGAAGTGATGAGTTACTACAGGATATATTGAGTTAGTACTGTTTTCATTAAGTTTTGAAGATTTTTTGTTTGACAGTTTGATGCTGCTTGTCTCATGTAGATATATTCTACATGTATTCACAGACTAATCATCCAATTTTCAGTTATATCTATTACTATTACTCAGAGAATCTAATTTTGCTATTGTTGCAGTTATATTTAAAAAGATTAGTATCTTTATTAAATAGTCACAGACAAAAAGTAACTTTTAACCTTAAAACGTTACATAAAATTTCAGGTATAGACTTATTATCTATTAAAAAACTTATTATTATCAACAATAATTTTGAAAAATGATGCATTGCAGCTGTTGTTACTTAAGAAGTGATGAATTACTACAGGATATATTGAGTTAGTACTGTTTTCATTAAGTTTTGAAGATTCTTTGCTTGACAGTTTGATGCCGCTTGTCTCATGTACATATATTCTACATGTATTCACAGACTAATCATCCAATTTTCAGTTATATCTATTACTATTACTCAGGGAATCTAATTTTGCTATTGTTGCAGTTATATTTAAAAAGATTAGTATCTTTATTAAATAGCCACAGACAAAAAGTAACTTTTAACCTTAAAACGTTACATAAAATTTCAGGTATAGACTTATTATCTATTAAAAAACTTATTATTATTAACAATAATTTTGAAAAATGATGCATTACAGCTGTTGTTACTTAAGAAGTGATGAGTTACTACAGGATATATTGAGTTAGTACTGTTTCATTAAGTTTTGAAGATTTTTTGCTTGACAGTTTGATGCAGTTTATCTCATGTACATGTATTCTACATGTATTCACAAACTAATGATGCTAAAATTTTAATTATATTTGTTACTGTTAAAAAATTTTGTTATTGTTACAGTTATATTTAAAAAGATTAGTGTCTTTACTAAATAATCAGAGACGAAAAGTAACTTTTAATCTTAAAGCATTACATAAAAGTTTAGATATGGATTCATTACTTATTGAAGAAATTATTATTAAAAATAAAATAATAAAAATTTTGATAAATGACTATTTATTGTTAATGTTATTTAAAAAGTAATGATTTATTGCAAGATATATAGAGTTATATAATGTTTTCACCAAGTTTTGAAGTTTTTTTGACAGTTTGGTGCCGCTTGTCTCATGTATATATATTCTGCATGTATTCATAAACTAATCATAAGAATTTCAATTATATTTATTACTAATACTCAGAAAATATAATTTTTTCAGTTAGATTTGAAAGTATTAATGTTCTTACTAAATAGTTATTGATGAAAAGTAACTTACAATCTTTACAGCATTATGTTATGCTTATTTTCCAACATTGATATGTTAAAAAAATCTGTATAAATGGTGGTAATATAACAGTATATAAACGTAAATTCTTTTTTACAGAGCAGAGATTCTGTAAAATATATTTTTGTTATTTCTAGAATGGACAAGGGTCCACTTTTGATAAAATACTTTGTGAGTATACAATGAAAGCTGAAAACTTGAATATGAAAACTTTGCTTGAAAACTGAATATATTGCAGCTTAGAATATTATTAAATGCGTTGCACAGTATTAAAGAATTACAATTAAATTCATAAAATTATAAAATGCATATCATACAATAAAATGTAGTCTGATAAAATGTGTTTAATTGTTTCAGTATTTAAAATAGATTAAGAGAGAATTCGTATATATGCAATTCTTATATATTGAATAATACTTTTGTTTGGATAATCCTGACATTTTAGAAAATATTTTAAATATTATTTCATGGAAATATCAGCTAAATAGCGCGCGTTTGTATTTGTTTTAGTTGAAAAATTGTAGAGTTTTCATCATGATTTGTCTCACGTTATAATAGTCATAATAATCATAATATTCATGGAAATCTATCAAAGGCTATATTCTGAGTGCGTACTCGAACGTTAAATATGCCATTTTACTTCTCAAGCTGAAATAACGTTATATAAAATGCTCGTATAAAAAAAAAACATAGAAAGACTTAGAATTAAAAGAATATATTTTTAACGTTTGCTATGTGTTTAGAATAGGATTCCTGGATGTTTCAAAGCCAACTCAGATAGATTTTTATAATTATCATAATGTAAGGTAATAGACGATGAAACCTTTACAATTTTTTAAATTACATTTATGAGGCAAATATACTATATTGAATTAATAATTAAATTTATATTATAAAATAATATATTTAATATATTATTTTTCTTATATTGATGTAGCAACAAATTTTTTTTTACTAAAAGTTATACTCAGACTTTTATATACATTTTACATGACATAATGTTTTGAGTAATTTTGTATTTTTTTTTGTATTTTTTATATTTTTTTCATATTTCTATTTCGTCATTTTATGTGATAAATATAAGTGCTATACGAACCGCTCATAAAAGTCGCAACCTTTACAAATCTATTAATAAAGTTGTTGCCAAATTTATATACTCTCATCTATCCGGGTAAATATCAAATGGTCCGAACGGAAAGTTCAGCGTGGGCAACCAGTAACCTACGTAGCATGGAGCGTGTTAAATCTGCGCTCGTGCGTGACATTTACACTTGTTTCAGTTAACGCCTGTTTCAGTTTCAGAAAGAACAAAAGCATACATTAAATGCGTGAGATGTGCTGGATGTGATTTTGGCTTGTCAATAGTAGAAAATTTAGGAGACGTGATTCCAACACAATTATTTAATATCATCCATGTGACAAAAAGACAATAGTTTATAGCGATTACATTATTAACCAGATAATGATCGAGTGGTTAGAGTGGAATATTTGCATTGAGCAGTTTCGATTCAGCAATTTCATAATTCGAGAATTCGACTTAAAAGTAGGATGATGGAACAACACTTTCTTCAAACTGATAACTGTATTTAAGTGCTAATTATTGTGGCCAATGTCGCGCTGACAAAGCACTTCAAGAAGCACTTGTATCAGTTTGTGAACTTATAATATGTTAAATAGATCGAAGTGCGAGACAGGAACAACCTATGACTTTCTTTCGCTTATAGTTACGTATACGCGTCCATTGAGGACTAACGAGCCGGTGAAGGACAGGATGATCCCGGAAGCGGAGACGAGTGTGATTGCAGCCATCGGACCTCTGAACTCAAGGGGCGAAGCTAATGCTCACGAGAGATTCGATAAGACCACCGAGGACATTCGTATCGATTTTACGTCGAGGAACGTCCATGAGTGCACAAATTCCTTGTACAATATTCCAGACGCGCCTGATCTTAAGCCTTGGACACCAGCCGTCATCAACGATAAGGATATCTTCAGCGTCAAGATCGGGCCGACTGGCGCGAAGAGAGGATACTCGCAAATAACAGGTATTGACCACGGCGTCTCGGTGAAATCGCACGTTTAATTCGTTTTCATTTAGCAAATATGACATTATATACCTTTTTTAAAGTTACTTTTTTGCAATGAAAAAGTGGTTTATGTTACGTCACGAAGAACGATATGGACATGCCATTAGCTGGTTTTGCACATGAACGTTGCTCTCGATTATACGTTATCTCCCTTGTATTACGATTCACGGAGCTGCGAAAATAAGTCAGGTGATCAAAAATCATTCGTTAAATTAAAAAATATCAATAAAAAATCAATAAAATTAATAAAAGACTTTTTTGTCCACAATTGTCAATCGTTTATTAAAAAATATTTGCTGAAGAACGAGGTTTTTCTATAAAAAAAAATACATTTTTCATAAAGTTCCACGAAATTTAAACTATTTTAAGCTTCATATTTGAGTTTAGTAGGTCTAAGAATATAAAGATAGCCTGATTTCACACATTCTCTTTACGGGCAAATTTTGATCTTTTTATAGCATTGTTCTTTTCCTCATATTCTAAATAGTAATACGCATTTATTATTACTTAGTAATGATATGTATCTATGAAATAAAGCATTTAAATTATTCTTCTATAATATCGTAAAAGAGCAAAATCAATACGATTAATCTATGTTTTGTAAGTATTCTATGCACACTCATAGAACATTTATAGTTCCCAGTAAACACAAAGTAATAAGTAAGTCCATATTACAATGTCAGCTCAATCATATGGTATATTATGTAACCGTTACTTTGTTATATAACAAAGTTACGTAATATACTATATGATTGAGCTGACATTGTAACATCGATGATACTTCCCGGGTAGGATTTTATCGGGGCATACCCCAAGTCCGTAAAGGGCCTAGATAGGCATGCCCTAAAATAGCAGAATTTCCTAAATAGACTCTAAATAGGCGCTGTTGGGGATATCCTTAATAAGTCCTGCTATCGTTAGGCCTACATATGGCCAAGCAAAAGAATTTCTAAAGAAAAATTCGTAAATAGGCCCAAAATAGGCACAGATGTGGACGTCCGTAAACATCAACACAACAAGACATGTATTTATATAATTCAGTCAGGATCTCGTTTATTCAATTCTTGAAATAGTTTAAAGTCTTACAGAATTTTAGTTTACAGTCTTAGACTGAAGTAAAATTCACATAAGTTTGAAGTAAAACCAAAATACCTGATTTTGGTTCTCAAAAATAGTCTTCCAAATAAGGCGGATTCACATAGGGTTCCACAGCAAGCTTTCCAAAAGATAACTTGGAAATTATATTGAAATATAACATTGAAATAATTTAGAAATATTTGTGAAACATTTTATCAAAATCTTTTTCACTAAAATATTTTATATTTTAGAAATCGCTTATAATAAGCGTTGATTTATATATTTATATATAAATTTAATTAATTTAACGGAATCTTATATGATAAGGTGGATTTCTCTTTCTTTTAATTGTACTTCTTTAAAATTACTCAAAGTTTATAGTCTTTCATGTCTTTATTTATTTAATAACAACCAACAATAAAAAAATTTTACTATAAAAATTTAAAAATAACGAAATGGAAGTGCGGGATTTTGTAGATCTCATCTCATTAGCTAAGGGTTCAATTAACAATAAAAGTACGAAAAATATAATTTTTATTAAAATTATACCATTTTATTAAGTTATATTATCAAAAAATTATATTATTGTGTTAATCGCAACACATATGGACAAAATGTAAGACGCTTATATCGATTGAAAAAGTGGCGTAGTGTCTAAGGCAAGAGATTTCATAATCCAGAGATGCCTCAGGCAGGGTCCAGGTCGAGTCCCACCAGTGTCAGTGAGAAATTTTAAATGTGATGTAGCATTGGAATCAAGTAATCTAAAGTTTTCAAATAAAATCAGCAAGCGTTGTAACCTTTACGAATAGTTTCTATTAGAAAAAAATAGTACGTATTCGTACATAAAAGAATATTTTTTTCTACTTAGGCATGTCCAGATAGAGCCTATATAGGCGTGCCAGAACAGGGCCTTGTCAGATTTACAAATCAGGCCCTGACTTACAAAAGCGTTACATCTCTGTACAGGGCCTATTCTGGCTTGTCTGAATGGCGCCTAGACAGAAATGGGGAAAAACTATCTAGGGCCTTTACAAGCCCTCTTTTAAATTCCTACCCGGGTTTGTGTTTACTGGGTTATGATATTCGAATATACTATAAACGTATTATGAATATATAACAGTGTTTACATGTATAGAATATGTAAATATTCGTAAGGAATATTTATAGAAAAATTCATAAAACTCATTCAATTCACTCATAAAATATTCCTGACGCTTCCTTTATCTATAAAATATCACGTAGCATCTTGAAGTTGTTTTTTAGTCGGCTAATAGATTTTTATTGCTGCGTAGGTACACCCTCTTGGGGCATCGCATGGTATATCAACGACTTGCTGATCCCGGAGATCACCGTGGAGAGGGGTCAGACTTATACTTTCATCGTGGAGGGTGGAAACGACTCTGCCAATCCCGCTAGGTAAGTCATATTCTCATTCACGATGACTCAAAACGCACATGTATATATACGAACGAGATTAGATCGGTATCGCGCCTCGACGTCCCTATCTCTCACGATATCGTGCACGGAGATTCGACGACGTTTGAAACGTATGTGATATATCGGTCCAGGTATCATCCGTTCTACATAACCAGCAGTCCGGAGGGTGGCTTCGGGCAGAAGAATGAAAAGGAACGAATGGAGCAGAAGGTATTCGCCGGCGTGAAGTACGACCCCAACGGATATCCCTATCCGACCGCGGCCGGCCGTTACTGCGAATGGGCGCGCACCTCGGTGGACAGCGCGGACAACTATGAGACGTTCGACAGCTTTTTCAGAACGCTGGAGCTCAAATGCGACAAGGGTGAGCCCGCCAAGCTCGTATGGACCGTCGAGGAGGACACACCGGACTTAATATATTATCAGGTACAAGTCCCATTTATACAAATCGATACGATTATTGCACAAATTGTACGAGTTATTCCAGTGGTGAATGACGTCTCCACGGACATTTACCTACCTAAAAAATTCGATAAGGATTGACAGAAATATACATACAAATTTCTCTCTCTCTCATCGAAGTACTGTATATTTTTATCTCAACTTATCATTTCTATCGGAAACTTCTACTTCTGATATTTTACAGTTTAAGTAAAAAAGTTGGCAATTTCTTTCGTGTGTGTGTTTTATATCGTAATTTACTTTGAACGATTGAATGTTATATTAAATGATTATATATTTATGTGAATACACACACTTCTTTATGCAATTTCATCATTTTTATCAAAAACATTGATTTAGTCGCATAGATTTTTTTATTTAATTTATCAGATCTTTTAAGGGGATGCTGGAGTCGATGACGAACTCGAACAATATCGATAATGCAGAGACGATCGTTACTAACATACCTAGACAGCACCCCAAAATCGGGTCATAAGACGTCTTTAAAACATCTTTAAGACAAGTTTATAAGATATTGTCTTAAAGATGTCTTAAAAACGTTCTAAAGACGTCTTATGACTCGATTTTTGCTGTCTGAATATTTGTGCTGTCTGGATAATCACGCTATCCTTTTTGTATTTCTTGTATATACAGAACTTATATGAATGTGTTTTGTTTTGATTTACCATATTCAACGGAAAGTTAACTATATATGTGTAGAAATCTTTCTGCAAACTTTCGATATTCTTAAGCTTCCAAATGTAGATGCGAAGGTAGAGCAATGTTCTTCAAAATTTTTTTGTTTGGAGCATCCACACTTTCGGTATGTATAAGCTGCGGAACTCTTGGATTAGGCAAATATTACGCTAACTGACAGCTTGAGATTTTACATTAAAAATTTTTTGTTTAAAAAAATTTTTTGCACGTACTTTCATTGTGTAAAAGCATTTGTAATTCTATGTAATACGACGTAAACTTTGCAAAAAAATATGTGTTCTGTCGGTAAAGTTTTCAAGCATCCCCTTAAGTAGCGTTACGACGTTTTTATTTATATTTCTTGTAATTTGGTTTTATTACTTTTTCTCAGTGTTACTCGCACAACTATTTGGGATGGAAGATTAATGTCGTCGACGCGGGATACCGGTCGCAGAGGAACGTCAACGGCGTCAGTCAACTTTTGCCTAAGTTCGTGATTCTCGTGACGTCCATGGTCGCAGTCTTTTTATTCTCGAGATGAATCGTCGGATTTTTTTCCTTTCAACGTGGAACAAACAACAGAGGAGAATGAAGATGACGACAGAGTACTTGGTCGATTTAAGATATGGTCACAAAAAAAGAAACTATGACAATACTAACGCGATTGTTAAATCGGCGAAACACGATACAAGGTTGTAAGAAAGTATTTAGCACGTAAGCTTTACTCGTAAGGTGAAAGATTAGCAAAATATTTTTAAGACCTATCAGATTCAATATTTCATATTATATAATATATATATATATATATATATATATATATATATATATATATATATA